CTGATGAAAGCAGTAATAGAAGATATATTAAAAGAATAAATACGGAAGTAAAACCAAAAAAATAAAAGAAATAACTAAGTTAGAATAAACATTATTAGAACCTTTTTAATGAAAGAAAAGAATAAAGTAATGTCTTGTAAATGAATTTATTTATTCATTAAGCCACATAACCATATAAATTAGCAGTTGTGACTAATGGAACTATTGCCCATCGTGACACACAATAGATTAAAGTACCAAAGAAAATAGAAATTGGTAAAGCAGGAAGAGCTTTATTAAAAACAACTAGTAAAATGAGAGTACCAAATAGTCCCTAAAGATATGAGTTTTATTTATTTTTCTTTACAAAAAAGGATGAACAATAACAAACAGATAATACTGCCACTGATCCACTAAATACAATTGTTAAGTCATACATTGCACACCTTCCAACTAATACACTATAAAACACAAAATCACCTAGTCCTAACTTTACTCCTTTTCCATGTGTAGATGATAGAGTGAATGGGTTTGAATCAACATTTAGAATTTCATTCTTAGAATCATCTGGAGATGCCAGTCCCATCCATACCGCTGTGGAATAAACAAGTGCTGGAATTGGTTCTTTTCGTTCTTGAGCCAAATTAACAAGTATTCTTAATGGTCCTTTAGGACATAGTACAGCAACTAAATCATAACATGCCATTCCAATAAGTAAAGTCCATGTAGTCCATTCTGGGAGATTTGTAAAGAATGAAGCCATGAAAACACTGATAATAATCATATAAAATTGGTTTAATTTCATTGGAGAAATATAAAAAATTGAGATAACTCCAAGCACACCAAAATTAAAAAGAAGAAAAGCAAATGAAATCCAGTCAACAGGCCAATTGAATACTGATAATAAACTTTTCATAATTGACCCACCAAATAACATTAATAATAAAATTACACTAAATAATAACCATCCTACTATTAATTTCATACATCTATAATAAAAAAGAAGAACAAATACAAAAGTTACTATTACAATCATAATAATGAAGATAACTGATACAATTATAGCAATAAGCCATATAGGGATAGTTGTTGATGATTCGATCCCTTCAGAAAATATGTATGAAGTTGCTTGTGAATAAAGGTCATTACTTCTTTCTAATAATTTAACAATAATAACAGTTAATAATAAAGTAATAGCAACAGGAGTAATAACAGCGTTAACACTTTCACTGTATTCAGCAAAAGTGATCATTTCAACTTCTTCTTCATCGCTTTTATTTTCTTTATTTTCTACTTTATTTTTTGAAAGTTGTTGTTCATCAGAAATAACATGAATTTCGTTTTGTTCAGAAAGGGTATCTATTTCTTTATTTAAGCTTTCGTCATCTTCTTCTTTAAGACGGTGGTAATGTGTTGTATCACTCATTTAAACTTGAACTGAATATTCAGTTCATAAATGAATATTGAAGAACCATCATTCACACTTCATCCAACAAACCCTACAAATAATCGTTTGGTTGAGCGTCTCAAAGAATTACGTAAACAATATCAAAGATTAGAAGAATTAAAAAAGGTAGTGGTAAAAGAATTTTCTGCAACAGCTTGTTTACTTGATAGATTACCTGAATTTTATGAACAAAAATATATTGAAAAATTTAAATGTGAACCTCCTCCATTTCATTTTTCTAAAGACCGTGTTCCACCATTAGATGAAAGACAATTAGAAGTTGGATGTTCACATTTATTAAATCCTTCTATTGAACTTGAAAACTTTCCACAACTTATTGATTTAAATGAAGATAATTTTTTTAGAACAAAAGAAGAAATAGAAAATTGTCAAAGAGAAGAAGAAGAAGAAAATAAAAATGAGAGTAATGAAGATATAAAGAAATCTATTGATGAATTTTTATTGAATGAAAATGAAATAATTGATGGAGAAGATGTTAGTTCTGATGAAGTTAAATTACCAAGACTTAATAATGAAAAAGAGATGTCGCAACTAAAGAAACAAGCAAAAAAATAAGCTATGTAATATAAATGTTTAAATAACTATAAATATAGTTTATCAGCAAAAGGTGTAGATTTAAATGAGAACGTTAAAACACCTTTAATTGAAGATGTTTTTAAATATTCTTTTATTTGTTCTTGTTTAAAAAAAGGTGGAATGAATGAATAACTAAGAAATCTTTGTTGTTGTATTTCTCTTATTACTGTGTCAATAGAAGATTTAGTAAATAAAGGTCTTTGAGGTGAGATATTAAGATATAAAAATGTTTTAATATCATCTAATGGAATATGAGGACATAGTCTAAGTCTAATATCTTCATCTTTAAGTATTTGAGGATCATCTAACATTAAAAGCTTAGATAATTCAAGACATAAAGGCATTTCTTGAAATGAATAATCATAAGAAAAAATTGTTGATAATAAAATATTACCATCATTAGTAGACAAATATAATTTATTTAAATATGATTTATATAATTTTACATCTAATGCATATAATGAAATATGTTCTAATAAATTCTTTAATGAGTCAGGAAATCTTAATTTATGAACTTCATTCATAATTTCTTGATAATTTGGTTTTGGTTCAAATTGATAAGATTTCATTAACTTATCCATTAATTTATCTGCAATAAGACAAGTTTTAGAAGTACAAAATTCAGTACATTCTCTCCACATTTCTACTCTTTTAGATTGATTTTTTGCATTAAGAAGTATTATAGTTTCAAAGAATGAAATAAATACATATTGAGTTTCTAAGAAAGAGTAATCATTACTTAAAAATTGATTAATACATTCTTTAAATAATACATCATTATTCTTTTGTACAATAAGAGAGAATAATACACAAGATAATAAAGTAAATTTACTTAACTCTTCTTTTATTTCAAATATTATTTTACTTTGTTCAGTACCAGTTATAAAATGATCTGCAAATTCTTTAGATGTTTTAAACATAAATTCACGATAATTATCCATTGAAGTAATTTCATTAATAATTTTTATAGTTTCTTCATCAAATAAATAAAATGGTTTAGCTATTAAACATGAATTTCTAGTTGCTATTGGTTGTTCAGTCTTAATATCTCTCATTGAATATCTTTTTCTTGAAACTTTAATTTTTTCAGAATCAAAAGTATTTCTAACTGGTTTTTTAATAGAAGTTGAAGGTTTAATTTTTGAAGTATTTTGAGTATTATCACTTGGTAATATAAAATTTTGTTCATCCTCTTTTTCAACAGTTTTTATAATTGGACTATTAGCATCTTTTATTGGAATATTAGCAATTTTTGAAATATTACTATTTGGATTTATTATTTGAGTAGAGATGATATATGAAATAATATATTCTTCTCCTTTTTTATTTTTTTCTTTTGTTTCAAATCCTCCAATTTGATTTTTAAATTTAAAAACTTGTGAAATATCTATTTTAAATTGAACTAACACTTTTTTTTCTTTTTTAATTTTAAGACAAATATCTTTTGTTTGGTACCGACTTTCTGATACTTTTTTTAATGTCGTAGTTAATGATATGTCTTTTCTTATATTTCTATTCATTTGAATATCTTCTATTATCCCTTTCTTATTTTTCCCTGTTTTCCATTTAATAAATACAAATTCTTCTGTTTCATTTGTAGATGTTATTTTATTAATTGTAATTTGAATTGTAACTTTCTCTTTCTTTGAACTCATTTAACAACAATTCAATTTTTAGTTCATTAGGTAAATCAGATTGTTATCTCTAAACAATAACTATAATTGACAACTAAAATTATTTTCTTTGAGTTAAATTATCTTTCCGTTGTTCTTAATTTTTATCCAAAATAGTTAATTTTTAAAAAGTTTTGATAAAGTTAATAAAAATCCTTATTGTTATTCTTCATATAGAACATAAAGAACAATCGTCATGGATTAAAACAAACAAATGTTTTCTTTCTTATTTTATTTGTTCAAAAAATTTTATTAGTACTAATTTATTATATTAAAATAAAAAAAATATACATTATTATATATCATGACTAGAATTTCATTATTAAATAAATTATTATTTCTTTTTTTTTGGGTTTATTTTATATTAGAGGAATAAACAATATTAAAAAATTTAACAATTTATTATCTAACTGCCATAATCAAAGAATTTAATAATAGCGTTTCTTTCTACACATAACTAAAATATCATAAACTTTACTTAAAACTCACTCTATTAAAATTATTAATATTTTTATTATTTGATTCTGACAGTTATTATCTCATTTAGTATTAAAAAAGTTCTTAACAATAAAAACTGAAAAAAAAAATTATAATTGTTTCAATATTGATTTTACTATCTTTATAAAGAAATACTCTCATTTTTCTTCCTTTTTGTAGAAAAGATAATATATATTCAAATGTTTTAAAAAGGAAATCTTTCTTAAAATATTCTTCAAAAATTCTTTTTTTTTTAAGTTAAAGAAGTATTATTTTAAATATTTCAAAGGAAAAAAGTAAATAAATGATGATGATAAAACTATCAGTTTCAAAACATTCAAATAAGGATTAAATGATAAAATAAGTAAAGAAGTTATAATAAATGAATAATTTTCAAAAAGAATAAATTAGTAATATAAAACAAAAAAAAAAGAAAAAAAAAAAAAGAAAAGAAAAACTTATTTAAAAAGAAAAAAGAAAAATCAATGGTGTTAATTCAACATAGTACTCTTTTTGGACATGGACCAGCAGTATTATATACATTCTTTTATTTTTGTTTATCAATATGTGGAATTTTATTTGCGTGTAGTTTTAAAGATTTTGGAAGTAAAGAATCATTAATACTTAAAATAATAATATATGTAATACCCATTTTCTTTGGAGTACTTATGATGACATTTTATTTTATGCAAAAGAAGACACTAAAAATAGTATGTATTGCATATGCAGGAGCAATGGTTTCTATGTTTATTGTTGTTATTTTTTTAATTTTATCAATTATTGGATGTGGAATTTTACCAAATACTTGGAAAAGTGGTGATATGGAAAGAAGAGTTATAAAAGAACAAGAGGTTTGATAATACATCATTTTTTTTAAATGAAATAAATAATAATATTAACAATAAATAGAAACAATGTTGTTTTGCTTATACAACAAAAACATATAATGGAGAAATATTTGCTTTTAAAGATTGTCCATTAATTAATTGGGATAATAACAAAATTAATATAACTAATTGTCATCAACTTGATGATAATAATGAATTTTGTCCAGTTTCAGATTTACAACTTGATAAGAATATTTGTAATCTAAAACCTCATCCAGATTTAGCTGTAATGATTACTCTTGCAGTTCTTGAATTTATTCAAGTATTACATTTTAGTATTTATTTAACTGCAGGATTCTTTTATCTTAGAGAACGATTGACTGAAAGTTGATAATAAAATGTAAAAGTGAAAATTTTCATGTTTTCAACATTTCTAAAAAATATTTGAATTATTGATTGAAACTATTTATTTAATAACAAAAAACTAATAACAAAACTATTCTTATTAATAATTATTTTATTATACAAAAAATAAAAATTATAAAATAAGAACTTAAAAATCATTACTAAGTTGGTTATGGCAATACCATTCTATGGGATTACTCCTGGAATGACTTTGTTCCCTGGGGCTTTTCAACAACCTCTACCACTAAATGAATGTTTGAAAAATAGTGTTGATGTTAGACAAACACTCACAGAATATAGAATTACAATTCAGACTCAAAAAGAGTCATGGCTTCAATGTATTGGGTATGATGGGAAAATTTTCTATGTTAATTGTAAAACAAAAATATTAACTGAGGAGAAACCTGATATCTTTAAAACACCAGAAGAACTTATTCTTGCTACATGTCCTTGGAAAGAAATTGAACAAGATGGAAAGGTAGTATATAAAAATAAAAGAACAGGAGAAATTGTTAATGAACAACCAGAGATATATAAATTAGTTACTCAAAGAATACAACAACTAAAAGAAAAGAATGAAAATAAACAAATTAAAGAAGAAAACGTAAATAAAAAAGAAGAAATGATTCAAATGCTTAAAGATATTGGAGTTAACTCTCAATCAACTTGGGAAGAAACAAAGAAAAAAATGAAAATTATAGATGGAATGAAAAAGAAAGAAGTTAGAGGTATTTTTAATGAATACGTTGGAACATTAAAAGAAGAAGAAAAACTTAAAATTGAAAAAGAAAAAAAAGAAAATAGAAAACGATGTGAAGAACTTTTGAGCCAAATGATACAAGAAAGAATTATTACAATAGAAATGGTATGGGAAGATGTTATTAAAATTATAAAAGAAAAAAATGAATTTTTAACATTAAGTGATAAAGATATTATTGAAATATGGAAAAATGAATTAGTTATTGAAGAAAAGAAAGGAATTGAAAAATGGAGAAAGTGTATATCAGAAAATGAACAAATGAATAATGAAATGACACGTGATGCATTTTATAAACAATGTGATTTAATGAATATACCAAAATATTATCAAGAGAAATTATATCAATTTTATCTTAGAGATATAGAACAAAAAAATGAAGATAAGAAAAGAAAACAACAACAAGATGAACAATTAAAGAAACGATTAGAATTAAAAGTAAAAACTATTCTTATTGAAATGAGTAATAAAAGAGAAATTTTATATGGAGATACTCCTGATAATTTTCTTTTAAATGTTAAAGATATTAAATTAGATGAGTCAATAAAATTAGATTTGTTTAAAAAAGAACAGTCTTATTTAAAAGATCAATACTTAAATGTCTATGATGATGTTAGAGATATTATTAATTCTAATTTTGGTGTAATAACACCAAATATGTCAACCACTACATTTATTAAATTCTATTCAATTTTTGATGGAAGAGTAAATTGTTTACCAAGAAAATATCTTGAACTTGCATTAACAGAATTATGTTCTCATTCTTCTTTAGATTCAAAAAAACATTCTCCACCATCATTAGACCTTCCATTAGAAAAAAAGAAATTAATTTAAATTTGATTGTTTTAAGAAATTAATTTATTAACAGTTTAAATATAATTAAAGATACTATCATCAATATCCATATCAACAGAATGAGAACTAACGTCTGCCGTTGTAGATTTTAATGATTGAGTTTGTTCTTGTACAACAGGAGTTAGAGGTTGGTTATTCGATAAATGACTTACACTTGATGAAGCAATAGAAAAATTTGTTGATATACTTTTCTGAGTTTCAAATACTTCTTTATTAATATTTCTAATAGAATTAAATGTTAATGGATTAGTGTCATTTGTTTTATGATTTGTATCAAGTGTTCTTACATAATCAGTATCATATAAAGAATTTCCAAGATAATTGCCAAAAAGTCTTAATGCTCTCTTTCTTCCATCACTTACTGCTTCTTTTTTAGCAAGTTCAATAGCCATTCCCTTCTTTGGCATTTCTGACATTCCAACACCAACATCTTCATGATAAACTCCATTTTTAAGTGTAACTCGAATTACAGCAGTCACTCCAACTTTAAATTTACCTTTATCTACATCAACATAATCAACATTTAAATTAGTAATACAACAACTCCATCCATCAAAACCAAATAATGCATTCGATAATTCTACAGCTTTCCAACTCTCTAAATATGTAAGTTTCATATTAGAAGGACCAGGTCTTACACTAACAAAATCAACTGGAACTTTTTGTTCTAACATTTGTTGAATTTGTTCTGGTCTTTCAAAAGTTCTATTTCCAAATCCATTTGAGGTATCTGTTTCAGTCATTTGATTATTATTTGTTTCTAAGTTCTAATTTATAAGGTTATAATTGAGGATTTATTCTTTTTTTATATCAAATAGATTTGAGAATTTTACATTATTATTTACTCATTTTAAAGTATGTTATATATAACTTAAATTAAAACCTTCTATTTTAAATACTTTCAAACAGCACTAACTAAAAAATATTAATTTCAATTAGACTTAATGAAAATTGATATTGTACTATGCAATAAAGGGGTTATTGGAGAACCAGTTAATGGTTATGTTGAAGTAACTACAAAACATCCAATATTTATTAAAAAAGTTAAAGTATTATTTAGAACAAAAAGTAGATATCCAAATTATACTAATAGTGGGTCAATTGATGCTAGAGAAAAATCAAATGTTTATATTTGGAGTGAATGGCTTAAAGATGATATTGGATTTCAAAGTATTGAAACAGAATGCTTTAGTGAACATTATAGTATTAAAGATGGAAGATTTACTGAATATGCACCTGGAGTAAATCGTTTTCCATTTGAAATTGTTTTACCAGAAAATAGTTGTGTAACCGTTGTTATGGGAAATTGCCATTTGAAATGGGAAATGATTGGTTTGGTTGAAGAAGAAGATTCTACAATCCATAAATCTCAACCAATCGAATGTCCATTATTATATTCTCAACGTACTATCGATGATTATAGTCCAATTGATTTAGAACATGATACAGAAAAATTTAATATTAAATGTTCTTTACAAACAAATAAAGTTCAACAAGGAGATATTCTTAATGGTCAATTAATTTTTAGAAATAAAATGGATAAACCCCTTGAATTATTTGTTAGTTGTGAGTCTATTTTGGAAGCATTAAAAAAAAATAATTCTGCCATGGATAAGAGAATATTTTCTCATTGTAAACATACAGTAGGTACAGGAGTAACTACTCTTGAGCTTAATATCCCAATTTCACCATTACAACTTCCTACAGTTATTGCTCCTCCATTTTCATTAACAAATAGTATTATTATCAAAGTTTCAGGAACAAATCTTAATTCTAAAGAAGAATCCGGAATGATTGTTCCAATTGAAGTATTTACACTTCCATTAAACAGAAAGAATATGGTAGAATATGCTACGTCATTAGGTTATTCATATTTGACATTCAAAAAAAAGAATTTTTATGGAACCCATAAAGTTTGTCCACCTAAAATTAACTTTAAAGAAGGGGTCGAAGAGGTTAGAGAAATTGATTCTAATATTCCTTATTTTATTGATCATATCAATAGAGTTGTTTATGATGATAAAACAACAAAACACATTTGTGATAAAATTTATCCTGAAGAATTAACATTATTACCTCAAGGATGGAGTTCTGGCTATTTTAGAAATGAACGATATTTTATTAATGCCTTAACTAATGAAACTACATGGCATGACCCAAGAGATAATCCATTACCACAACACGTTATAGAAGGTGTAACTGGATCACTTTCTATTATCCCTATTCAAGCAGAAAGTGTTGGAAAAGATAAAGGTATTGAATTAGAAATATTACTTGGTAAAACTAAAATTAAATCATCAATTGCTAAAGGAATTGATGCTGAATTTGATCCTATCCCAATACGATTTAATTTAGACCAACAAAGAAATAATGTGTTAGTTTATGTTTATGAAAATAAAGAATTATTAGGTGTTATTGAACTTGATTTAACTGAAATGAAATTCTTTTCTAATATTAAAAGATGGTATTATCTTCATCCAATAGAACATCAACGAACTGAAGCAATGGGAAGAATTTTATTACAAATTGCTTATGCATCTCCTTTAGATAGACCTCAAATCACTGAAGGATTTGATTATATTTCTAAAGCTCATTGGTACTTTTATCCACCAACCTCTCAATTTATGGAATATGTTAATAAGCTTAATGAATTAAGAACTAAATTTAATAAAGAGCCATTAGTTAAAGTTTATGATAATAAGTATATTGTCTTAGCTAGAGAATCATACATGTACTTTTTCCAAATTGATGAAAGTATTGACTCTGAATTTAGTGTCACTAAGAAAACATCTACTCAACAAACTAAACTAACTAAACCATACATAAAAGTTGACTTAACAATTAAAGTAGCTGAAGTTAGTATTATTCCATGTGAAGTTACATATGAGAAACCAAGAAGAAGATTTTCATTATCTATTAAAAAAGGAAGTAGGTCTTCCAGTAGAAAGAGAGAAGATATAATTGAAGGTGATGAGATTAGACATGAAAGTATATTTGGTAGGTCATTATCTAGACATGACAGTAAAAGTAGGGGATCAAGCAAAGACAGAGAAGTAGATCCAGAGGCATATGAAGAGTTACTTTCACCACAAACTCGTTCGAGAAGTCGTTCTTCTTCATTTGTTCAACGTTTTAATATTTCTTTGTCTTCAGAAACAAAGAAGCCAACGTATGTTATTAATACAAAGAAAAGAAAAGGGTCAGTTTCAACAGGAAGTCCATATTCCCTTGAAAGCCATGAAGAATTAGAAGTTATGAGAAATGATGAGAATGAAGGTATTTTATTAGATTAGTAACAAAAAGATTTTTTTTTGTTATTAATCAAAAAAATCTATAACCTTCTTATAACTTTTTTTAATGTTATAAATATTTTATGTTTATGAAAAGAAACTTCAAAATAATATAAAATTAGTTTAAACAATAAAAAATAAAAAAACAAAAATATATTTTATATTTTTTGTTATATAATAAAGATTTAATAAAAATATTTATCTAATAAATGTTTTAATGAAATTAGTGGATTGGATTTGCCATAGAAATAGTTTGTTAAAAAGAAAAATATATATTCTGTATAAAGAATAATTAAAAGCTAATATAATCTTAGGTTCATATCCACCCATCTTCATTCAACAACATAAAAGAAATAAAAAATTATTTCCAAGTAATGAAATATCTACAACAAAATATTCCATTTTTTCTTTCATATTTAAATTTTTATATTACCAATATAAATTATTGACAAATGTTTATTTTTTAATAAATATGATAATTAGTTGTATTCCTTTTATTTCAACAGTAACACCAATTACTGCAGTTATTCCAATTATTATTGTTCTTTGTGTTTCAGCAATAAGAGAAATTATCGAAGATTTAAAAAGACATCGTTCAGATAAAGAATTTAATAATAAAAAGTTTAGTACTATTACTGATGGAATAGAGACTATTAGATCGTCCAAAAGTATTGTTGTTGGGGATTTAGTTATTTTAACTAAGAATGAAATTATACCTTGTGATTGTGTACCTATTTATTCGTCTTTACCTGATGGTATTTGTAAAGTAGAAACGGCTGCATTAGATGGAGAAACATCATTAAAAACAGTTTATGTACCTAAACAATTATCTAAAAGTTCAGAAAATTCAGCACTTGATTTTAAAGGGATGTTAGAGTGTGGATTTCCTACATCAAATTTTAATGATTTTAAAGGTTGTTTTAAGTTTAATGGAGAGAATATAATAACATTAGACTCAAAAAACCTTTTATTACAAGGTTCTGTTTTAAGAAAAACTGATAAAGTTATTGCTGTAGTATGTTATACAGGAAAATATACTAAACAATCATTAAATTCTTCAAAACCAATAAATAAGAATTCAACATTAGATCACCGTTTAAATCAATTTGTTCTTTCTACTGTTTTCTTCCAATTAATCCTTTGTAGTATTATGGCAGGATTTGCTAGTTGGAAATATAAAAATGTAATACAAGATGAAGGGTATTGGTACCTTCATTCAATTGACCCACAATGGTCTACAATGACTTATTCAATAAAAAAGTTCTTTGGATATTTTAATTTAATATCATATACTATTCCAATATCAGTTGGAGTTACAATAGAGGTATGTAGATTTATTCAAGGAAATATTATGGAAATGGATGATGACTTTAAAATTAAAGAATTTGATTCTGAAGGTACAGAAAAAGCTGTTGGAATGAAAACAAATAATTGTTCAATGATTGAAGAAATGGGAGGAGTTCAGTATATTTTAAGTGATAAAACAGGAACATTAACGTTTGTCTTTCTTTATAATTAAATAGAATAAAAAAAGCTTTTTAACTTAATTAAAATAGTGAGAACAAAATGCGGTTTAGTAAGTGTAGTATTTATGGTGAAATATATCATAATGTTCTAAGAGGGAGTATTCAAACAAGAATTGTAGATAATCCAAAGTTACTTGATTTTCTTTATTGTTTATCTCTATGTAATTCATGTACCATAGAACATTCAGATATTGGAGATTATAATTATTCTTCATTTTCTCCTGATGAAGAAACACTTTGTGATGCCTCAAAGAAGAATGGAGTAATTTTACAAGAACATACTCAAGAATATATTTCATTAGATGTACTAGGAGAACATCAACAATTCAAATTAATATGTCAAATAGAGTTTACAAGTTCAAGAAAAAGAATGAGTGTTTTAGTAGAACGAGATGGGTTATATATTTTATATTGTAAAGGAGCTGATAATGTAATAACCCAACTGTTAGATGATAGTTCAAAAGAACTTGTCAAAATATCACAAATTCATGCTAATAATTTTGCAAGTGAAGGATTAAGAACACTTTTTATTGCAAGAAGAATTTTTACTTCAGAAGAAATTCTTCAATGGAAACAAAAGTTTGATTCAATTGATCCATTAGCAAATGACATCAAACACCAACAAATGAAATTATATGAACAACTTGAAAATCATTTAGAATTAATTGGTGTAACTGCTATTGAAGACCAACTACAAGAAGATGTTCCATCAACTATTTCAATGCTAAGAGAAGCTGGACTTAAAATATGGGTAATTACTGGTGATAAAATGGAAACAGCTATTAGTGTTGGATTGAATTGTAAATTATTTATTTCTGGTCAAAAGATGATATATTTTAATCATACTTCTGAACTTGAATTTGTTGAACATTTAGATCAAGAATTAGAAGAATTGTATGGTTCTAAAGAAATAAAAGATAATTTTTTAAATCAAAATCAACCACTTGGCATTGTTATTCATGAAAATAATATCGATTGGTTTATTAAACATCAAAAAAAATTTAGTTCTCTTGCTATAAAAGCAGAGAGTGTTATTTGTTGTAGAGTAAGTCCTAAACAAAAAGCAGATATTGCTTTATGTGTAAAACAAATGACAAAAACAAAATGTCTTACAATTGGAGATGGTGCAAATGATGTTCCAATGCTTACTCATGGGGATGTTGGTGTTGGGATATATGGTAAAGAAGGCAATCAAGCTGCTATTACAGCAGATTTTGCTATTAGAAGATTCAAACATTTAACTAAATTAATTTTATTTTATGGAAGAAATGGCAAATACCAAATTACTACTCTTATCAAGTTTTGTTTTTATAAGAATGCTGCATTCTTTCTTATGGATATTTGGTTTGCTACAATATCCAATTTTACTTGTCAAATTATCTATGATGATTGGGTTATGACTTGTTTTAATACATTTTTTACTTCACTACCACCAGCTGCTATTGCCTTATTTGATTATGAACTTCCTTGGGAAACAATTAAATTGTATCCAAAATCTCATAGAGAAACATTCACTGATAAACAATACAAAATTAAGTCTTTTGTTGAATGGTATTTGTATGGTGGACTTCAGTCAATTCTCTTTTTTGTTATATTTTATTTCATTATTGCCCCATCAGATGTGACAAGTTTTGATGGAAAAGTAAATGGATTTACTTTCACAGTTGTTACAGTTACAACATACAGTCTTTTCTCGATTTATTTAACTATGTTCATTTATACAAAGCGGGTTGGAAATACAATTATATTATCCTTCTTAGGGAGTATTTTATTATACATTATTCTTTACACTATCATTATGTTTGTCCCTGGAATGTCAGTGAGAAATATATCTTATTGGGGGTGGTTGTTTACATTGAAACAACCACTCTTTTATTTAATGATTATTATTTCTATGGTCATCACTGTCTTCCCTCAAATTGTATCAATTTATTTCCAAAGAAGAATAAAACCAACCAATACACAATTACTTCAAGAATATTATTTTAATAAAAAAGGAAAGTATGTACATGTAAATGAGGCTCAATCACCTTCAATAGATAACCAAACCTCAAGCGTTTCAATAACAAGTTGTGACCAAGAATTAGATGTATTTGTTGACTCTACAATGTATACTCGAACAAATCCAACTGCTTTAATCAATGAAGAAAATGAGTAAATTACCGTTACTAAATAAAACAATATTTTAAATTGACAACAATAAATAAAAGATTTAAGATAATGCTTTATTTCATTCTTTTACTATTTTTTATTGTTAATGGCTATGTTAAATAAGTTTTATTGTTCAAAAATTTTAAAGAAAGAAACAATTTTTGAAAGCAATAAATATAAATAAAAGAATATTTTATATACAAAAATAGTATATAACATGAATGCTTTTTAATGATATTTCTCTTTACCAACCATTTTTATGAAGAAATATTACTAAAACTTATTATAAAGTACTGTTACAATTAAAAGATAGTTTTGAATGATAAAATCATCATATAAAATGAAAGATTTATGAAATAAAATGTATTAAAAAATAATTAATTAATAAACAAATTAAATTAAAATAGATAAACTACTACCCAATGTTATTAAGAGAAAATAAAACTTAAAATTAATAAAAGACGTTGCGTGGAGTAATTAAATTCTGTTTGAACACAATATTCATTTAATTAGATTTTAAAGTAATATAATTCAAAGAATAAACTACAAAAGAATTAGCATTATCTTTCTCACAATTTACAACAAAGGTCCAATTTGTTGGATCATCATTAATTAAACAATTTGATTGAACACTTATAATAGTCCATCCATCAACAAATGGAATAGAATCCAATAAAACAAATCTATCTCCAAGGAAAACATATGTAGTAATTTGGTTTGGTTGAGTGAGAATAATGAAATCTAAAAATAAGCATGTTAATGTTGTCATTGAAATATAATCCAAATTTAATTGAATTTCTTTGTGAATACCATTAAGGGTTTCTACATGGAGTGTATTTTGATAAACATAATAAGAAAATCCATTTGCTGAAAGAGAGAATAAATGAGGAATAAATAATTTTGTATAAATGGTTGTTCCACAAATAGATTTACAATAAAAAGAGTTTTCTGTAAATAGGACAATACATTTCTTTGATGAAATAAAGGCATTTTGTATTGGTTGAATTTCTTCGATTTTTAATATAGTATTTTGATGATTGTTATTGTAATATTTCCATTCTACTCCAATAGAATTCTTTAAAACATATTCTATTGTACCTTTTTTAGAGTCAATAATACTAAGAATCTTTCCATTTACATCTACAACACTTCCTTTTTGTTTAATCAGAGTTTTTCCATTTAGTGATTCAATAATAATCATTTCATTACCATCATAAATAACATCAATATTATTTAACCCTTCTACTTTCTTCATTTTACAACTTCTCATAAAAACACTAATTTCATTAAATCCAGAATTATTACTTTTAACTGAAAACCCTTCTTCTCCAACAGTAAGAGCAGTTCCATTATTTGTTGGAAGAACATTTATTTTAATTCCTTCTTGGTTTAAAAAAATTCCACTAAAATCATATTCATATTTCTTCTTTGGTAATCCATTTAATATTGAAAAGGCTTTTAATAACCATTTATGTAATTCCTTAGATAAAACTGCCATTTCAAGAGTCATTCTTAATATATATAACCTTTCTAATGACATTAATAAAGGATATGAATAAATTTCTGGTACTAAAGCACTATTAGCCAGTTGGTCTATTGAACGAATAGCTTTTCCATGCAAAGTTTGAGCTTGATAAAATGGTAACAATAATGTGAATGGAACAATAGAATATAACAAACAACAAACATCTACTGGTTCAAGTTTAACTGATGTCCTTACTTCTGGATTAGGACTTGGAATCAAACTAAATTCATTTCTTAACAAATTTTGCTTTGAACGATCAATAATATGACAAATTAATGTTTCCCAACTCATTGACGTGTCGATCCAAGGAAAGAATGGATGATTATTAATATCATTGTATGAATATCCTGCAAAAAAATTAAGTTGATTTATAAACATATAGTTACTCATTCTTCCATTAGTCCAATCCTTAATGATAGTTGATTGGTTAAATGCTTTAATTGGATCAATATAAATAACCGTTTGTATTTGATGGTTTAAAGTAATGTGAGATAAGTTATTTAAGAATTTTAATGAATCTTTCATATGAATCAATAATGGACGGTGATACTTTATATATAATTCAATATATTCTTCTCTTCTCAAAATGACCATTGTAATAATATTTAATCCAAATTCATCAATTTTTGATGGTGTTTTGATAATTAATTGAAGGTTATCAGCATTAATATAAATTCTAGCAATTTCTTTCTTACTTAAATAAATAAGAACACCATCCATGCCATCATCACTAGTAAGTGATTTGAAATGAATTAAACCTTTCTTTTTTTCAAGGACTTCTCTATATTCATTTTCAAGACTTGATGGAGTGATAATACTAATATTATTTTCATCTATAGAAACTGGTTTCAATACAATAATTGGTCTTACCTCAGAAAATCCAATTTCTTCAAATTTGAAAGTATTAGAATTTACAATATCAATGAGGATATTTGATTTAAAAGCATTTGACCAATTTCTTCTACTAGAAGTGAATAACCTAAGTCTAATATCAGTATCACTCATAACTAATCTATTATAATCCATGGGTGCAACGTCAAGATTAGGATATTGAACTTCTTTAAAAACAAATGAAGGATTATTTCTTGGTTTATTTTCTTCAACTTTCAATACATCAGCTTGAACTTTTAATCCATTTTCATGAGTTTTATAGAAAGAAACTAATTCCTTTCCAAATAATTGAATTCCTTTAAAATCCAATTCCATCTGAGGTTGTTGTTTAAGGTTTAATAAATACATCATATTTGATATATCCCTTCTTACACTTGGATCATTACATTGTTTAACAATATCATAAAGATGGAAAATAACCCAACTATCATATCCTTCAATTTGTGGTCTTTGAACAAGATATGGAGGAATTAATTGTAATGTTTTTCTTAACAAAGGAATATTATTATTCTTTAAAGCAATTGAATGAAGTTGACACAATATTAAATGAACAATAAAAACATGTTGCATTGATGCTACTTTAGAATTACATAATTTTGGTTGTGGATGATGATATTCTAAGCATTTTGTTATTAACTCATAATCTTCTTCGAAATGAGGTAATGCAGTATCACAACCATAACTACATGTTCTACAAAAGAAATCACTAAATAGTAATATCATTTGAATAACCATTTTATCTCTTGAATCATTATTTAATTGACAAAGAACATTTTTAACTAAACATTTTAAAAGACTTCTAAATATAATATAAAACTTTTCTTTGTTTTGTAATTTTGATAATAAATAACAAATAATATTTTCTAATGATACATTTTGTTGTTGAAATGCAATTCCAATTATTCTTGCAAAGATATTTTGTAATCTTTGTAAAATGTTGTATTCTTTTGAAGATACCAATGATACAGCTATATCAATAAATATGGTTATCCAATATTTACTTTTTAATAAATATTTCCAAATAATATGATTTTCTAAACATTGAACAAGATCATTTAATATAATATCTAATACAACCATGTTATTTGATAAATTATTTGATATTGCAATACTTATTGATTTAAGAAATGGTGTAAGAAAATCTTGTTTTAATTTCATTTGATTCATATTAAGAAGAAATCCTTTAGAAGATAAATACCCAGTTGTGGTAGTATCAATATATGTATTTCTAATATTATTAAATGAACATTCAATAGCTATTTGATATAATAATGGTGTTAAACGTGTTGAGTTCATTGCATCTACAATAACATTATATTTAACTTCTATATTAATTAATGCCAAAAGCCTTTCAATATTACCTTTTAAAAATGATGGATTTTGTTGAATATAAAGATAAAGTAATGCAGTTTTATTCTTTTTTAACATAGTTGATATAAAAGACTTTAATTCTCCTTGAGAAGTTAATACCATACAAACATACATATAAATTAATAAAGCTTCTGTATTAAAATCGTTTGTTTGAATTGCAGTGTCAAGAAGATGTAATGAATCAGTCATAAAATATTGAACAACATAAACGTCTTTAATTATAATTGAAGTAATATATTGAATATATCCACATCTCCATTGAAGATGAGCTCTTGGAATAGTTTCTTTTTCAAATTCTGGAATATCATCATATAAAATCCATAACATTAAACTCCTATATGATAATTTTTCAAATAATTTGAATGGTAATGTTCCTAAAACAGTATGGCTCATCGACTCTTGTAATTCTTTAATATATTCTACTCTAAGTGAATCATTTGGCCACCATCTAATATCAAAAATATGTCTAAGTATAATATTTCTAATAGAAAGAAAAGAATGAGAATTAATAAGTCTTAATGCAAAAGAAATAAATTCTTTAACAATTGGAGTTTGTAATTTTTTTGTTTCATTAAAAGTATGTTCTTTTGTTATTTCTGCTAAATTAATTAATGTTTGAAATATAGTAGATATTTCATTATTTTCAATAGACTCTTGTCTCAACATTTTAAAAGTAGACAACAATCTAAAATAAAGATCAAGTATTTTTTCACAATCTTCTAATGCTCTTGTATTATATTTTTGATTTAATAAAATAAATAATTTACTAATACCACCAATCCTATTAATAATAGCACCTGGTGTTTCACGTATAATTGTAACAATTGGTGTAAAATTTGATATTTTATAACATTCAAAAAGTAACATATCTTTAGTTAATTCTTTTTGATCATATCGAATAATTGTTTCTTCTGGAAGTATTATTACATCAGTTATATCACCAGTAAAATAACTTTTAGAATTACTTGATATTCCACCAATAGATATAATTGCTTCTTCATTTTTTGGATAATTTAAAGAAAATGTAAAATTTTCTTTTTCGATTTCAACAACAAGACGTTGTTCTCTTTTAGAATGCATTATTATTAAATTATACCATTTTCCATTAACAACACGTCTATTATTTAATTGTAAATCATTTTTATTTGGAGTTGTTATTAACGATGGTGTATTAAGTCCACATTCAATATAAAGAAATCCTTCTTTTATAGTAATGGTAATTCCAATAGAAGGAGATTGAATTGATAATATAACACCATTTCCTCTTGATCTAAATGTTAAAGAAATTCCCCAATTATCAGTAGTTCCAATAGTTATAGTTTTATATAAACAAGTAAGAAATCCAGGAAATGCATAATATCTTTCAGGACCACCAAATCGAGCCAAAGAATTAAGTAATGAAAGAATTTCAACATTACAATTATTAGATGTAATATATAAATGAAATAAATCAGTGAAATCTTTAGTAGTTAATCTAATTTTAAGTAATTGTTCTAATAAACCTAAAATAACAGATAATTCATTTTCATTACTTGTTTTAATTTTTTTAACAAGTTCAGAAGAAAATGATTTAGATAATTTTGATATATTTAATGGATTTTCTGTTATTAATAATTGTAATGTTTGATATAAGCTTTTTGGGTTTATATAATTTCTTATTTTTTCTTCAATATTTGGTACTATTTGATATACAGAAGAGTTAATTGGAATACTTGGATCATATGGTACACCACAAAGAATAGGAATAGTTTCTTCTAATAAGATTTCATTAACATCTTCCATTTTAATTTAAATTATTCAAAAACTAATTAGAAATTTTATAGATCTTTTGTGTTTTTCTTTTTTCTTATTTCAATTTAATGTTAAATAATTTAAATTTGAATAAACAATACACATCAATTATTATTTAAAAAAAGTTACGAGTTATTTGTGAATCTTGTTGAAGAATTGAATTAACTGATAATTGAATCTTTGAGACAATATATGGTTGATCAAATTTAAATAACTGAATGAGTAATTGAATATCCTCTTTGTCTAAATCTAAACAATTTTGAATTTGTTCAATTAACTTTTTTCCAAAAGGAAAAGAACTGTTAATAATAAAATAAAATAATTTCATTCCTCTAATAATCATAAAATTTGATGTTTGTTGTAATAAATATACAGCAGTATTTAATTGGTTTTGACTAATTAATTTAACAAATTGTCTAATAAAATCTTCTATTAAAAAACAATGATCAATTGGAGCTAAAAATGAAATTGGATTGATTGGATTTACACTAGTATTTACCTTTAATCTTTTATTAATAATATTAAGAAAATATGAAGACCTTGACTTATAATAAGAAATTGTATCAATGTCTTTCATTGATTGAACAATAAACTGGGATGAATCAATTAAACAAATTGGAAATGGAAATTGAAAATATTGTGATGGGTCAAACTTAGTTACAAATTGAAGAGTAAAAAATGGGTTTATGTTAATTGTCATTTTATTAGAATGAAAGTCTTGAATTGCAGGTAAAGCAAATGGATCTAATAAAATTCTAATATCAGTAATAGTATCTGTTGAAAAAGGAATACAAATAGTGTAATAACTTTGAATATAACCAGAAATTATAGAACATAAATATCTTGTATATTCTTTTGAAGTATTTTTTGTATGAGTTGATATATTAATGAATTGTTGTTTATTATTAAATACATGAATAAATTCATCTATTTTATCAATTAATACATATAATTCTTCAATTAAATATTCACTTGAATCTTTATTGTTAAGAGTAAAATTTGCTAATTGATAATAATAAAATATACGATTTATATAATCATAAAGTGAGTCATGAAACATTTTATGATTAATAATATCTTTTGGTAAATCAATTCCTATATTAAATATAATTACTGGATATTCTGTTGGTGATTTTACCATAAAAGGAATATGTAATGTAAATATTATTATATCAACTTCTTCTCCATTTTTTATTCGTTTACCAAATTCATAATAATAATATGTTGGAATATGTGTTGTTTGAATTCTAATTTCAGTTGGTCGGTCAATATGAATTGAAGTTTTTAAAGGAATTGATTTATAATATTGGTTCATACCATAATTTTTTACTCGACTATGAAAATCTTGAATAACTTGAGTATTTTCAACATATTCCATTATAAGTTGTTTACTATTCATTTCAGGATATGAGATAATGTCCAACAAAAAAACATAACTCATTTCATTTCCTTTTTTCATATTAAACCTTCTAGGAACCTTCCAACTTGTTTCTGAAAGAAGGTCTTTTGATGTTACTTGTCCTATGATTGTTTCAAATGATCCCCAAATAACACCCCAATGTTCATGTAATGTATGTGATGATAATGACTTAACACTAAAAAATGATTGCCGAAGATAAGTGGGTGAATTATTACCTGAAAATGGAGAAGATATACTAATCCTTTTAGACATAAATAACTCTAAAATAAATAGTTCATTGGCTAGTAAGTCAAATATATAAAAATATATATATATAAAAAATCCATTGAGTAAAATATTTAAATTTGAAATTGTAAAACTTAATAAAAACATTTATTTCTATTTTAATTTTTAATAAATAAAATTTGTGAAGAATAAATTGAATTAATTCTCTTTATTCAGCATCGTCAAGGTTAGCAACACCTGGAAGTGGAAGTCCTTGTAAAAGTTCAAGTGATGCTCCTCCTCCAGTTGAGATATGGCTGACTTGTTTATCAAGACCGAATTTCTTAAGAGCTGTTGGAGTATCTCCACCACCAACAATAGTCAAAACACCAGCTTGGGTAGCAGCAGCAACAGCTTCACAAAGAGCTTTGGTTCCAGCTGAGAATTTATCAATTTCAAAGACACCACATGGTCCGTTCCACATAATTGTTTTAGCAGCAAGGATTTTTTCTCTCCATAAAGCAGAAGTCTTGGGTCCACAATCAACACCTTCCCATCCTTCTGGGATACCTTCTTCAAGAGTGCAAATTTGAGTGTTAGCATCTTCTCCGAATTTATCACAAGCAACAAAGTCAAATGGAAGAAGAATTTCAACTTTCTTAGCTTCAGCCTTAGCAAGAAGTTCTTTACACATTTCAACCTTTGAAGCATCAAAGAGTGATTTACCAATCTTCATATTCTTTGAAGCAGCAAGGAAGGTATAAGCCATACCACCACAAATAATAAGTTGATCAACCTTTTCAAGGAAGTTGTTAATAATTGGGATTTTATCAGCAACCTTAGCTCCTCCAAGGATTCCAAGATAAGGTCTGTTGATATGATCAAATGCTTTAGCAAAGTATCCAAGTTCTTTCTTGACAAGGAATCCAGATACCTTTGGGCTTAAATTAACACCAACCATAGTAGAGTGTGCTCTGTGAACTGTTCCAAATGCATCATTAACATAAACATCACCAAGTTTAGTTAATTGTTCTCTGAATTCTTTAACCTTTTCTGGGTCAGCTTTGACTTTCTTTCCATCAACAATTGATGATCCTTCTTCTTCTGGATGGAATCTAACATTTTCTAATAAGATAACACTTCCTGGAGCTGGATTAGCACATGCCTTAATAACTTCTTCACCAACACAGTCATTTAAGAAAATAACTTTGTGTTTAAGAATTTCTTCTAATTTTTCAGCAACTGGTTTAAGAGTAAGTTCTGGAACAACATGTCCATCTGGTCTTCCAAGGTGTGAAGCAAGAACAACAGCTTTACATCCATGATCGAGGCAGTATTGAATTGATGGAATAGTAGCATCAATTCTTTTAGTGTTAGTAATTTTTCCTTTTTCCATTGGAACATTAAAATCAACTCTCATAAAGACTCTTTTGTCTTTAACATCAATTTGATCAAGACTCTTTTTAGTAAATCCCATTAAATATAAGTTTTTTATCTTGATCTTTTTATACCTTTTCATATGTGTGAATTCGTGTCGTTTCGTATTTTTTGATGACTGCGTCTTTTTCTTTTTCATTTTTCTTTCCTTCTTTATATTAATTTTTTACTATTCTTTGTTATTCACTTTTTTCATTTATTTGAAGTTCTTTTGTTTAATAAGAAGGGTTTTTGAAATTTCTCCTTTTCTAAATTTTTTGTTTCTTATATATTTCTGAACTATCATAATCTTAACTAATACTATATATTTTAAATTGTTATTTGAATTATCTTTTGTTTTCTTTATTGTTTTACTCTTTTTTTTTCTCATTATTATTTAGTTAATTAACATTTAAGCGTTCATATATTATGCATTGAAATAAAACAATTCAGTGGTGTTGTAAATATTGTTAAAAAAAACATATTCAAAAATAAAAAAATAAAAACCAAAAAAATTTTGTTTCAATTAATTCTAAAAGAAATAATATAAAATATAATGTTTCTTTTACTTTAAGATCTTTTAAATACTTTAATAGATGACTTTTATAAATTAAATTAAAGGAATAATAACAATGAATTATATAACCATCAAAATAAAAAAAAACGAATAAAAGAAAAATTAAAATGAGTTAGAATTAAGTAGATTATAAGTTTTTAATTATAAAATAAAGAATAGAAGAATTAAAACATAATGAAATATCTAGTAACTGTCAAACCATAATAATACTAAATTTTATTTAATATTTGATTTTATAACGTATTAATAATCTAATATTAGAAATTAGTGTTATAGTAAATTTCAATAATTTAATGATATTATTTTTTCATAACTAATTTGTTTAACAAGAAAGAATTATTTTAAATTGTTTAAATAAAAAAAAAAATGACAAGAAATGATTTTAAATAAATGTCTTAAATCTTTTGTTTTGTTTGAAAAACAGAATTTTTTTTATAATTAAATTATCTCCCAAATACTTAATTAAAAAAAAAATTTGAAAATAAATTGAAAAAAAAACATAAATGATTTTTTTAAACGAAAATAACTGAATTTATTTGGTTCATATCTAAAATATATTTATAAGTGGTAATTAAAATTTTCTTATTCTCTTTTTTTAAAGGAAAAGACTTTTACTTTTCAGTAATTATTTTCAGAAAGAATTTAAATGGAATCTCAATTAAAAGATACTTTTAATGAAATAGATGAAGATCATGATGGAATTATTTCATTTTACGATTTTCTTTCTTCAGCAATTAAATACCAGGTTAATGTTAATCAAATTCTACAAGTGTTTAAAGAAATAGATCAGAATAAAGATGGAAAAATATCATTAATGCAATACATGAACTATTGTGATACAAAAAAATACACTACCCCCTCCTAAATTGAAGAAAATACAATTGAATTTTTTTTATCCAAAATAAGAAATTAATTATTTCTTAGAAACAATTTTGTCGACAACTTTACCGGCTTCTTTTTTTGTTTGTTTATCAGTCTTTTTAGTCATTGTACTCTTGAACTTCTTACTAAGAGTCTTCATAGATTTTCTTAATGGTTTTTTAAGGACTTTTTTAGCTTCTTTCTTAGCTTCATTTCTTGATTTAACAATAATTAAATATTGGTGTTCAAGTTTTCTAATTAATCCATCGATAGCAGATCTACAAACCATCTTAATATCAACGTTGTTAACACCTTCAGAAGTAGCTTCTTCAATTCTTTCAACAATCTTCTTATAATATTTATTATAAGCTTTCTTAGAGACTTTCTTGAATTTGTCTTTAGCCTTTAAGATATCACCTTCATTTTTATGGTCAATAGTCTTAACTAATTTTTCTGAGGCAATTTCAGCAGCCATCTTAGCATATTTATGAGCAAGGGATTGAGTTTCTTTTAAAAGGAGTTTTTGGTTGTGCTCAATTTCTCTTCTAATATGAGTATTTTCTTCAAGACCAACTCTATGCTCAATTCTTGTTTTTCTAACTAATCTATCTCTATCAGGAAGAGCAATCTTATCAGCCATTTGTCTCATTCTTCTTAAAATAGTTCTTTTTTGTCTTCTAATTTTATCCATATTTTTATGTAATTTATCAATTTGGGTTTCAATCTTCATTCTATCTGCTATATCAACTGCAAGTTTCATATCATTATATAATATATCTAATGCGTTTTCAATTTTTCTTTCTCTGTTTTCAAGAGCTAATAAAGTTCTTTCATTTCTTCTATTAGCATTTTTAATTGTTCTCATTCGTTTTAAGATGGTTTTACCATGAATAAATGGATTGAACAAATCTTCTTCAGCAAGTGCACAAACACAAATAAATGCAAAAAGGAATGCTTTCATTCACTAAAATAATATAATTATTAGTTCTTTTTTTTGAGTTGATTTATAATTTCTTCTATTGTTTCATATTTTTTTTTATTTTAGTAGCATTTCTGAAAATTCTTTCTTCTGTTAGTATTTCTTGTTATTTTAAACTACTTATTAAACTTACTTATTAATTTATTTATTTTTTAAGAATATTTTTTATTTTGTATTTATTCTTTTATTGAATAAATAGTTTTATAAAATGGATTTGAATGTAATTTATTCTAATACAATTATTATATATCCATAAAAAAAATTAAATAAAATTTCTTTACTTACAAGACAATTTATAAGTGTTGATGTTGATATATTAAAAATTATAAAATATAGAAATAATTAAATATTATCTCATAATTTAACTTTACAATGAAAAAAATTATTCTTATTGCTTCAATACGTTTTTTTTATTTTCTGAAAGATAAAAGAATAATTGGAAAATAAATTATTAAAGATCTTCTTTTGTTTTTACTTGTTTTTCATCATCTTCTTTTTTATTTTCTTCAGTAGATTTGTTTAAAATGATATTGTCAACATTTTTTACTTTATTAATAAATGATAAACCACAATGTAATTGTCTATATTGATAAACTCCTTCACCAATTTGTTCACTAAAACACGTTTCACATTGTTGTTCTAAAATAGTATCACGATAAACAATACATTGGTTATCATTGAATGCTTCACACAATAATTTGTTATTATGTATTCGATACATAGCAGATGTTCCATCAGGAAAAGCAGTACAACCACTAAACATTGACTCAATAACAGTTGCTTTATTACATAGTCCTTCTTTAGTTAATCCTAAAGTAGAATTAGTAAAGTAAGCAATTGCCTTTCTTTCATCACTATCTAAAGAATCGATTATACTAACTATTTTTCTAAAAGGAGGTTGGTTAGCATTAGTACATGTATTTAGTTCTAATGGAATTAAATTATTCATATAATTATCTTTTGTTTTTTCACAATGATCATTACCAGTATACATATCAGTTCTTAATGACTTACCATCAGTACTAAGAGTAAATGATATTGTTTCTAAAATATTTGATTTAGGATTTGGTTCTGTTCTTATTAAACAAGTGTCTAATTCTCTATACTCACATCCAATAATTTCTTTACAGTCTCCATCTAAATAAGCACATTCCCTTAATAGTTTTGCATAAATACAATAATTAGAAACTAAGAAAAGAAGGAATATCATAATTTAAATAATTTTAAGTTTTATTTTTTATTTTTATATAAAAAACCAATTAAATATTTTTATTTAAAAAGAAAATATAAATTATAACTCTTTTTGTTGTTTTGGTAATGTGTCATTCTTTTCTTCTTTTTTGTAACAATTAACATTTACATATCTTATTAACTCATTTCCAAAATATTCTTTTATACATAAACCACATGGACTTTCAATATTTGTCATTGCTAAATTTACACATTCTTTATCTCTAAATGTTTGTAACGTAAGTGTATTATTAATAACACTAGCTTTTGAATATGTTCCTTCCATTACTTCAACACATGAATTATAAATAACTTGAATTGTTGATAACATTGAACATGGTTTAGTTTCATTGTCATTAGAAAATACAAGTGTTGTATTACTTAAATAACCTACAGCTCCTTGTTCAATGTTATCAAGTTGATCAACAATAGTATCTATTATATATATAGATTTATCAGCAACACAAACTCCTAATTGTTTTATTGTATTAACTTGATTTGGAATAGAACTTTCATTAAGACAAAGTCCATTTGAACTAAACTGATAATTAATAATTTCATTCTCTTTTTGAACAGTTTTTGAATAAAAATATTCAATTGTATTTTTAGGGTTTGGAATAGACAAACAAGTATTCAACTGAATAAATTCACAAGAACTAATTCTCTTACACTCTTCATCAAAATACATACAGTGTCTCAAATATTGAGCAGAACAAATAGAAATAAAAATAATAATGAAAATAATTACCATATAAATATTTCTTTCTTAGTTCTTAAAAATTTTTTAATTACTTATTGTTGCAAAAACAAACAACAATCTTTTTTAAAGAAAATAATTGAAAATTATGATATACAATAAATACACTAATGGAAATAATTAATAAAAACTATACAATAGGTAAATAAATACACAGTCAATACTTATGATGCTTTATAGTTTTTTTTAATTAAAGGAATTATTTTAATTTATAATACACAATGAAAGGATTTTATAATAAATAGCATAACAACTATTATATCAAATACCTTTTGAATAGAAGTACTTGAAATAAATTGTTAATAATCAAACTTTTATTTTTTGGTTTTCTAAAAATGTTGAAAGGAAAGTTGATAAGGAATTATATTGTAAAATTCCTCTTTTCAGGGAAGTTTAATCATTCATTGAAAATATTAAGAATGAACTCTCTTGG